ACTCATCAAGATGGAAGAATCTGATCTTGGATGATAATCTTCACTCCAAGGATGAAATCCAAGCTTGATTGATGAAACGCAGCTCCAAAATCACCTCTAGGGTGTGTTCTTAGCAATTTCTCTCTCTAAGACTCTGTTTTTTGCTCTCAAAATCGATTCCCTCTTCAAAAGACCCGAAATTGGGTTAAAACCCATAATTCCGCGACTGCACGGCCATGCCACACGACCGTGTAGAATTGCCAGCTGCCCGTGTGGAAGTATAAAACGACGCGTTTCACTTAAGTGCCTTCATGCACACTACACGGCTAGAACCGCACGGCTGTGTGAAATCATGGCATGCCCACGTGAGCTCCCTGGGAATTCCACAAGGCCACAAAGGACCCTTTACACGGCTAGTGTGGTTTGCCCGCGCAAAGCGGTTCCACACGGCCACGTCACACGACCGTGTGGTATTTAGGTCTGGTCGTGTGGTTTCCCCAGCTTTTCGTCAATCGTTCCAACTTCGTCCAATCGACCCCGAACTCGTGCCCAATCCTTCTTTCACGTACTAGAACCTGAAATATCACAAACAAGAACAACCTAGCGTGAAATCGGCCTAAAACACGGGAGATGAGACTTAAACGGTAGAGGAATGGTGGACAAAAACATTTGTATATATCAAGTCATCAGGGCACCAAGAGAAGGTTCAACATCTTGCATATGAATTCACCCTTACTTGGGATGAGCTAGTTCAAACATTTCTTGATAAATATGCTCCACCTTGGAACAAATATATGCTAGCACAACAAATTCTAAACTTCAGGAAATGGGATTGTGATCGAGCCCCTCTATGAGGCATGGCAACGATAAATTGGGTATGTCGATGACCATCCCGATTAGAACTTTGAGCCTCTTTCATCTTGCTCACATGTTTGCTGATAGACATAACCATGCGTTAGAGCATTTCTTGCACTTTAATCCCTTGGGGAATATATGGGATGTTCCCAAGAATCAAACAATGTAGCAATTTGCATGTCACAGAGCTATCTCAAAAGAGGAGTGTACTCGCATCTCCGCGCAAGAGTTATTCTTCTGATGGACAGTAAAACTGGTGGGGAGAAAGTGATCTTTGCAATAGGATTTTTTATTACCCTCAACATATTGACACCCCAAGGACCGTTTATGGTGGGGCTACAATAGTTCAATCATTACCGGTAGAAAGTGTTTACTCAGTCTCCTCATTCGAGACAAAAACTAAAAATGAAGAGCAAACCATTAAGGAGATAAATCGCGATCTCACTCTCATTTACGCACGTCTTGCCTGGCTAGAATTCGAGTTGGTCAATTATGGAAATGCTCACCTCTTGGAACCTCTAGTTAAAGAAAAGGCTAAAAATTAAAACTTTGTGGTCAACGATCAACAAGATTCTTTCGGAGCTAAAAATGCAAGGGCAGGACTCACGGTTGAATTAAATTCGTGCATAATGTCCTTTATCTGATTGAATTATACTTCTAGACCGTATTTAGGAGTAATCATCTATAGAAAGACAGAATACGAATTCTTGCCCATTCCAAGCCCATTAAAAATGATGCCCAATTTAGTAGCCCGGAACGCCAAATTGCGCGCGAGGCGTCGTTTTACATGGGCACGAGATAATACCCTTTGACCATAATATTGTCCAGGAAGTCCTCCTAATCTCTTATGGAATCCTTTGTCCATACGAATATTAAAGGGAAGACTTATTCCCTTGGGAAGAGGATGCGGTATTCAAAATCCCTATCCTTTATGGAAAAGGGATATTACCCCTACAAAGAGCATCTCCCTCATCATCAAATATACACATCGACATCATGAAGAGTTGAGGAAGAGATTAATGCATTAATTGAAAACCAGGAAGCCCAAAGGGTCAGGACAAAAATAGCGGCAACAACCACTCTAAAGCAACTATTTTCAAGCTGAAAGGAAAGAACCTCATATTCACCAAATTCGTTGTCACATTGTTAATTTTGATGTTAGAAGTTAACATCATGAACGTTTTTATGTGAGCATGTGAATCATTGTTCGACATCCATCTGAACATATGATTGTGATGAATTCAGAACTCAAGATGGGATGTCAAATTTTTAGGCAGCAATGTTAGGGAACTGGATGCTAGTCATGATATCTTCCAGTGCTGGCCTAGAGTAGTCCAAAATTATTTTGTTTCTTTCCATGACCTGCTCCACGATGGTGGGATTGCCTTGAAGACCTTTGTAAATCCATCTCAAAACATGTCCCAAGTACTCTCCAAGCAATCCAATGCTCAAAAACTTCTTTACTTTGTGTATTTATTGTCAAAATATCATCGAATTCAATCTTCATGAGCTGAAACACACTTGAACAATAAACCAAACGTAAACTGGTTAAAACATAAGATTATTTTTGCAATGACAAGACAAAATTTGTCTAAAAGGAAGTGAAAACATGTAAATTAATTATCAGCTCACTATGTAAACCTTGAATTAATTGGAGTTTGAGGAATGATACCATACATTAAGGCCTACTAGTATAACCTAGGCCATAGTTCTTTAAATTATATACCCTAAGATGTATTTAATTAGTAAAATTAATCAGTGATTGCAATTCTTCGAAATACATCCAACATACCCAATTCATCATTTTAGAGTTTGAAGTGTGGGCTGGGGTTCAGTCTTTAAGGGGTCATTTGGATCCAGGTTTCTTAAAACCTAGAATTTTGTCCACAATCACTCAATTTAAAAACCTGGGTTTTTAATATGAGAGATTGCTATAAATCAATTGTTTGTTTGCAAACCTAATTTTTTAATGAAAAAATGGCAAATACAATTTTGCCCTTTTTCTTCGTTCCCACAACACATAAATTAAACCTAGAACACAGAAAGTTAATACCAAATCACGATTCCTAGATCCCGACGGCTTGGGAGACGACGAAGGATATTGTTGTTGTTGGGTCCTTGCTAGTTTCAAAATGGCGATGAAGGAAGATGGATCTGGATCCTCAATTTTCCAATTCCCAACCAAATTCACTGCGGACGCTAGGAAGAAGCATCAACCGCCAAGCTTGTTTCTTCCACCACTAAGAAAGTCTTCCATCGTGAGGATTAGCGATGGAAATTGAAAGGGGAGAGGGGAGATCGACTGATTTTCGAGCACTCGAGCATCTAATGGACTGGGTGGAAAAGCAAATGGCGTGGACACCAGACCCAAAAATCACACCAGTTCAAATCGGCAGGCACTGTCTCATGTAGTTGCAGCGTACCGTAGCAGGAATGAGACAACACCGGACCCAGAAATCAACAATCTCATTGAATCACCATCAACAGAATCGCGAAGGTGGAAGAAGCGGACTGGGTGGAAAAGGATTCATTGACGGTCGTGGCCAAACGATTGTTGTTGTGGTTCTTCTTCTTAATTGACAGCTTTGAAGTCGTCGGGAACACGAACCATCATTGAAGGGAGCAACCCAGAACCCAGACCTGGATTTTCAGAGATCACATGACAAAGGTGAATGTAGAAGGGTCGTAGGGACGAAATAGGGATATAATGGAAAAGAGGAGATAAAAACGAGAGATTTGAGAATAGTTGATCCCCATAGGCTATTCTGAAATACCACATGTAGATTTTCGAAATTCCTTATGTCCACAATCTCTTATCTTTCTAAACGCGTGATTGTTTTAAAATCCTGCATAATGAGTGATTATTTTAAAATCTCTAACAAATCTCTCATTACAAACCTGCATCCAAACCACCCCTAAGAGTTATGGTACACCCTAAATTTATTTTAAAATCTACATAACATTTTTTTACTAAAAGTGTGTGGTACCCTAAATTTACGGTATGTGAATACCAATGTTGTTAAAGCCTATCTAGACTGGTCGGTCGGATCGGTAAAACCGGCACCCGGATGGTAGTATGGGTCGTAACGGTCAAGAAGGTCGGTTTTTGAGCGGTCTAAATGGTTAACCATTCGAGCCGCTCGAACAGTCCGATCGATTTATGATTTCTTACCATCTATAAATAAATAAATAAATAAACATCAATAAATTTTTATTGTGTTCAATTGCGTCTAGCGGGACGATTTCGGGATTGTGCAAATCATATTAAGTGTCTTCCTCCCGGAAATACATAAGCTATCCCACCAAGTAGTTGTCGCTTGACAAGGAGCATGAGTGTACTCCTCTCACAAATCCTTACGCACGTCATAGTATTGACCTACTGAGATGTTTATATCTTTGCAAGGTATAATATTGTGTAAATTAAAGATGCCTTGCAGCACAATACAACTTACCCTGCCTTGTCCACTCGAACATGTTCCTATGAAGGTTCCACTTCATATGCATCACCATTCACCACCACCCTTCTTCTTCTACTACTTCTTCTTCTTCAACACGGTGACTCCACCCCTTATCTTTGGTATCATTAGAGATAGAAATGCATGTGCCATTGAATTAAACTACACACGGAGAAATTCCGCACACAAAAGAAAAGTTAGACAACAGAACTTAAACGAATAAACTTAATGGAGTTGAGAAATAAAAATAAATAAACAAACAAACAAAGGAGGAAAAACGACCCAAAGCCAAGGGGAGACGGACCCCAAATCTGATATATAAACCCCACCTCTCGTCCAACAGCTGGAGATAGCTGTCCATCTAATCCCCCTCCCCATGTGACCCCACTGCATCCCACATTCATATGCACCACCACCACCCTTCTTCTTCTTCTTCTTCTTCTTCTTCTTCAACATGGTGATTTAAAGTGGTAATGAGTTGGGTGATGCAAAAGAAAAAAAAGTCGAAATATATTGTAATTGAATATAAGTTTACACATCACAATTAACTCGTTACATTAATCCAAAATTTTACAAAAATATGATGACAGTAAAAAAAAGATAAAAGTAAATTAAAAAAGTAAAAATATTTAACCTCACCCTCTACATATTACCCACCCAAAACGAAAAGATCAATTTCATCATACGCATAACCTTTGCCCCAGAGGAGCCCTATAATCTATCCATGTTCCAATCCGAAAAGCATATTGTAAAGCTGAGCAAGTTAAAAATGAACCCCCCAAAAAGAAAGTATCATCATCATCATTTCATGTTGTCTGCCCCTCTCTCTCTCTCTCTCTCTCTCTCTCTTGACGTCCATTTCCATTATTCAGTTTCATTCTCTCTTTCATCCCCTCCGTTAGCTTCCTAATTCTGTTTAACTACCTTTTCTGGTGCGGTGCATATATATATCAACCACAGCCATCACCTTCTTTCCCCCATCTCATTTTGCTGCTTCTGATGCTCATTACCCAAAATACAGATCACAAAGAAAGAAAGAAAACCCTCTTTATTTTCATCAGCTGATGCTCGTCTGCTAGCTTCTTGTAGTTACCCCATTCTGAACTGTGTAAGCTTCAATTCTCGCTCCCGTCCTTCCGCAAAAGCGCCATTGTAGGTCCGATGGCGCAATTGCCTCCCAAAATCCCAACCATGCTGCCTTCATGGCCAGATTTCTCGCCCGACCAGAAATTGCATTCCCTTGGTGCAGCCATTCTGCCTTCCCACCACGCCGCCGCCGCCGTCCCTCCTCCTCCTCCTCCTTCCGCCGCCCACAACAACGGTCACCCTTCCTGGGTTGACGAATTCCTCGACTTCTCCTCTACCAGGCGCGGGACCCACCGCAGGTCCGTCAGCGATTCCATCGCTTTCCTCGAGACGCCAATGCTCGACGACTGCCGCGCCGCCCCTCCAGCCGGCGGCGTCCATCGCCCGGCGGGTAACAACCGCAACAACCCCCACGATTTCGACAAATTTGATGACGACCAGTTCATGTCCATGTTCTCCGACGACATCTCCAACCCGGTCACCGGTCCCAACTCCTCTTCCAACCCTTCCACGCCCTCCGATCACAACAGCTTTAACGAGGAGAAGGAAGGGTGCGGCGGCGGCGAGCTGAAGAATATCCGGAGCGAGGCGGACGAGGCGCAGAGCCCATGCGATTCGGATTCCCAGCAAACGACGCCGTTCGACGGGGACCGTATAGTCGACCCCAAGAGGGTCAAGAGGTGGGAAGGATATACATTCATTAGGTGGCCGAATGAAAGTAAAAATTTCCATTAATTGTACTATTTAATTGAATTCCCTGCGCGCTGGGTTGCAGAATTCTGGCGAACAGGCAATCGGCGCAGCGGTCACGGGTTAGGAAGCTGCAGTACATATCGGAGCTTGAACGGAGCGTCACTTCCTTACAGGTAAAACTGTTGTTCCACCACCTACCTACCTACGCATTTGATACTAACGAATGAATTTCCGTGCTAGAAATTTTTATGGTGACAACAGTATAGGAAATAGTTATTTATTTCTAAGTAATTAAGGTAATGATATTATGCATACATGGTAAACAGACGGAAGTATCGGTGTTGTCGCCGAGAGTTGCATTTCTGGACCATCAGAGACTCCTTCTGAACGTGGACAACAGTGCTATAAAGCAGCGGATTGCAGCTCTGGCTCAGGATAAGATCTTCAAAGATGGTCTGTGATCTCTTTCTCTTTCTTCTTCTTCTTTTTTTTTTTTTTTTAAAAGAAAAATCCTTTGCCATTAATATGGATCCTTCCTAGCTAGTGTGACTTGATCAATTAATAAACTTGTGCTTACAAAAGAATAGTACGTAATTTCATTTGGATGGGTTTACATGTAAATTTGTATGTTTTCTAAAACTATATGTAGTATTTTAATAATTGGTATCGTGGTGGGTGGTGGGGAATTCAGGATCGGGTAAGTGTATAAATTATTGTGGTTATAATATGTAAAATTTGGTAAAGAGGAGTGAATGCCAACTGTTGCAATAAATGAGGACAAGATATAGCTAGCGCTGGGTTGGGTAGATTAGATATGAGATATGACAAAATCATTTGGATGTTGGCCACCAAAATTGATAGATATGTGCAAGCTTTGAGTTGAGCTCCATTTTTTACACTAGTACGCTTTTTGCTTCAATTTCCCCACCAGTAGTTTCTGGTTCGTACGTGGTCCCAGGCATCATGTGTATTAATTAATTAATATAATAGAAACAATGCATGGTGGGTTTGATTCCCCTGTTCTTTTCTTCTGTTGCGAACGTAAGGGAGGAACAGTAACGTTAGCAAGAAATAAAAAATAAAAATGGAGGAATCGAATTTAGTAGTGCAGGTAGTTGTTGTGTTGTGTGGGTGCAAATGAAATAATAATAATGATAAATGTGTTGACAGCTCATCAAGAGGCACTGAAGAGGGAAATCGAGAGACTGAGGCAAGTTTACCATCACCAGCAGAAGCTCAAGACGACAATGGAGAATAGTAACCAGGACGACGACAACAGCAACTCAGTAGGAACACAGCACCAGAGTCATAATAGCGAACGCCCCACCAACAACATTACAGGAGGAGGAAGTGGTGGTGGTGCGGAGAAAGAGCAGCAGAAGCAGCTTCTTCAAGTTTGATGAGACGGCGGGAGGGAATTGGGTGTTGGTTCGGTTCGTACTGGGGATTAGCAAGTTGACTCATTTAGTATTCTGATTAATCATCTCTTTTGGGGAGGGAAGTCAAGCCATCACTCACAAGAAGAAAAAAAAAATTGAAGTCTCTGTCACATTTCATGTGCAGTCTCTTTTTTTCTTTTGTAGAAATTGGTGGTGGGAAGAGAGAGATAAAGTGGGGGGTGGTGGAGGAAAGGAAGAGGCCGGAGAGGAGAGAAGAGGAGGTAAAGGGGCCGCAGCTGCTAATGATCTGTGCATTCACGTGATATGTCGTACAACCACAAGGGACCATCTCTCTCCTCTCAGATTTACATGATTGGGAACCTCCTCAAGACCCCCCAACTGCATCTGCATGTGCCACCCTCCATCCCTTCTCTTCTTTTATTATTTCTTTTATTATTAACCAGTGTTTTCGTTTTCTTTTTCTTCTCTTTTCCCTTTCTATTCTTTTTTATTTATTTTTATTTAAATTGATTTGATTGATTAATTGTTGGGGCAGAAAAGATAACCCCATGTTAGAAGATAATTCATTTGTATTTCCTTCTATTCTATGTAGTTCAGTTGTTTTTGGTTTTTCGTCAAAGTGTAGCGGCACAAGTCTGTTTCCGTTTCTGAATTGTATATTTGTATTTGCTGCTTCTTGGATGGATGCCCGTATGGAAACAGGTAAGATGTCGTTCTTAAACACCTATGTCTTATCCCATTCTTATTAGATTAACTCAGGATCACTCGGTAAGGCCGAGGAATAGCAACAGTCAAGAAACAAAACAATCTGATTCACTAGATGAAGGAAGATTCTAACAAAAACGAAGAACAAGCAAACTGAAACAGTCGAGCATAGCTCTAAGCCCAGATTGAGTAGAGTTCCTGGCAACTGCCCAAATCCTACCAATCCAGACACTTTAAACAAGAACCCAATCCAACTCTCCCTAAGAACTAACCAGTTCTTCCTGAGCAGTGGAAACCATTGCCTGTCTCCTTCTTCGTGATGTCCTTAAGTAGGCTTCCGAGGCGAGCTCTCGATCTCTTTCTTCTTGAATGATTTTACCGTTTGATAGTGATTTTGACTGGCTTGATTGAAGAAGCCTTGGTGTTGATGCATTTTCTCGATGCTCTGATGATTAGGTATAATGGAATGAAGGAGAAGACGCTCTCGGTGATCTCGAAGACAGGCTAGAAGCGTGGGCTTTGAGTGAAGAGGCCTTTTGGTCGAATCCGTCAGGAAGACTATGGGCCAGGGCCCAACAATCTCCCCCTGCGTTCAAGCCTTCATTCCTGTCAAAGAACATAGTACTATCAAAGTATCGAGTGTGGAGTTTTCTCAGATCATATGCAGGGAGCTTTATAACATTTCATAACAAAACATGTAAACTAGCTTTAGTCTTGATGAGGCTAATAGGCACAATCATCAAATCATAACCTTTTTTGATCATTTATTCTGGTTTCATCGAACCATAACAAGAATATAAACTAGCTTTAGTCAAGATGAGGCAATACAGACACAATCATCAAACCATAGCTTTTTGATCATTTATTCTGGACTCATCAAACACTTAGTTTCGACCTTTATGGTCTTTTAAAGAAAATCACACATAGACCATTATGGTCTTTTAGAGCAGATTAGGATAGAGAAACATAGAGCTGCCAAAATAGAAGGACACAAAGTGGATTAGATTTTTTCATATTTTTATGATCTTCTTCTCAAGATCAATCTTCTGGCACATAATTTTGTTTTGGCTTCTCCAGAGATTCAATTACACCTTCCATCTCATCATCCCCCTGAGTTCCAGCCACTCCTTCCATCATGTCCCTCTCAAGCTCCTCAGCAAACAGTCTGACATCCTTTTTAGATACTATTTCTGGTTCCAGTTCAGCTTCATCTTCTTCGAACGAGATAATCAGGTTTTTGCGAACCAAAGAAGATGAGTCTCCAAGTTTTAGTGATCTAGACTTATTCTTGATGAGTCTGATAGCTGCTGGATCAAGAGATTCTCCCCCTTTCGAAGGTTGAGGCTCAACACCGATATAGTTGAGGACAGTGAGGGCCGAGACAGAGACAAAAGTCTCGCCAGAGGAGTATCCATCGAGTGATAAACCGAGATTGGATAGCAAAAGGGTGATGAAGCCTCCATATGGAAGGCGACCATCGAGATGAGCGTCAGCACTTCGAACAATGCATCCAAAAAGAAGTTGGGAATAGTCGATTTTGCGTCCAGTTAGAGCATTGGAAAGAACCCAGAGGTCGAGTTTGGTAACAATGTGAAGCCCTTGAGAGCGAGGTAGAAAAAAGTGAGTGATAATGTAGTGGAGGGTGCGAAGAGAGGGGTTCAGATCTGCAGAGGTGATGATTTCATTTGCCCCTACTTTACGATGAGTGATGCGAGAGTATTCAATCTCATGATCAAAGTCATAGAAGAGGAATTCATCCTCATGAGCCAGAGGCATAGGACCTCCAGTAGGAAGGTTAAGCAGAATGCCAATAGCCTCAGTAGTGAGAGAGATAAAGTAACCATTCACCAGGGTAGTTAGTTTTCTGGTGGTAATTCCTTGACAGTCAAGGTTTGCATAGAATGTTTTGACAGGAAGAGGACAAGCAGCAAGTGGAGGATAATGGAGGAGAAATTCCCAACCCAGGTTCCTAATGAAGGGTGTAATGTCAATTCCTAAGGCTTTGAACTCATAGAGATCAAGGGAGATGGGATCAGAAAGCCTTCGGGAAGCAAAGAATTCTTTGAATCTATGGAGATTGAAATCGATGGGCTCATTGAACGTTCTCCCCACATAGGTGACAATTGCACCAGGAATGGTGGAGGAGGTGAACAGTTCAATCATGATGTTTTATGAGATTGGCAGTGAGTGAAGTGATCGGAGAATATAAGAGGGGGGGGGGGGAGTATATATACACTAGGGATGAAGAATACTAAGAGTTATCACGATTATTTAGGAAGACTGCCAGCAGCAGCAGTCAACGATTTAGCCTATTTTAATGCATGGGGAAATCAAACACTACGTTAATGAACATTCAAACAGTGTAAGAACAGGGGTAAAAACATGTGTAATTAACGGTCTATCAAACTCCCCCACACTTAACCGTTTGCTTGTCCCCAAGCAAACCAAGTCAGACACAAGGTAAGCTTACATATTTCAATCAACCAACATTGGGGACAAGTCATAAAGGCACAGAACACGTGAATCGTACTAGTTTTCAAACATCAATACCTGACCAACTTCAATAGCAACCTGGACAACCACCACAAAGGACATTCGAGTGCAGCAAAATCGAGTAAAGGAAGAGTCTCCCTTCTGTTCACCAACCAACCTAGACTTGACTCAACCACTTACTCAAAACAGTCAACTCATGCATCCAACTCATGACATCAGAATAGAGACCGAGCAATCTAGGTCCTCACCGGGGTACAAGAGTATATAGAATATGAAAATGAATCACTCACTCTCGACTAGTGGGGTCAGGACAATTTGATGCGAAAAATGCGCATGTTATTTCTCTCAATCCCTAACATCTCTTTACCATGATGGCAACCTCTAAATGCTAGAGTTCACATATGGGGTGTCACCACTAACTAATCAGGAGGTCTTAGACACAGGTTCAAATGACTGGCTAGGGTCTTGGACATGGGGAAATTGCCTTTTAGGTGGTGGAAGTGTTCATAGCACAAGGTTCCACATTTCCAAACCCACAGAATCACAGTCAACCAAACCGGTATTTCCTTTCTTCTATTCTGCATTACTCAATATCTCAAGAGCACAAGAGCGAAGGAGGTATAAATGTCAGCATTTCCAAGCCAGACTGCTAAGAAACACTACTTACTGGGCATTATTCAGATTTTTTGTAGTGGCTCGCTTTTGCTTCCAATTTTTCTTTGTTTTTCTTTCATTTTCTTTTCATTTCTTAAGAGAGCCACCACTTCTGCACATATTTCAAACACATGCCCAGCCCAACTTTTAAGCACTACCTCCAACACCCACATCAAATTTAGCAGAAACAGTAGAGAATATGTAAAAACCACTCTGTGGAACCTTCTAAAAGATGCAAAAGGGTGATTTTTTTCATTTCAGACCAAAAGAAAGGATAACACACGGCTCAAAAGGGCTGACTAGGGGATATGACACATCAGGACAGTCAAATTTGGTCGTGGGCTAATCCTATGCCCCCATCATCTTAGCTAGTGACAACGTGAATGCTACACATCATGGAAGAGGGATCTATCGCACAAGAAAGAAACGAGCAGGCTCAAATCTCACATGGCTACCTATATGCTCTATCTCACATTCTGATACCCTGAACTAGATGCATAAACGACTGTCAAGAACAAGTAATCAATCCAAGTCACAGTTGGTAAGCAAACAGTTGAAAAACTGAACCCCTACACAATTCTACTGCACGTCTCAGTCCTCATCATAGGTTGTCCTAGTCACAATCAAGCTGTCATGCATCAATCCGAAAACCATTCAATTCACCAATCAAAACACAGTGCCAATATGATCAAACAGCAGTACTTGGAGCCCTCAAATCATAAGATTCGGACAGCGGACTAGGCTCCAAGCACCCAAATATATATTCCAACCTATACAAAGCACCCCCCCCACACTTAAGCACGACATTGCCCTCAATGGAGTAGAGGGAGAGATAAGGGGAACGATGTTACCGGATTGAAACTGCGGGGGGACTGGAAGTGGACCAGTCAGCGAGAAACAAACGGGAAGATGGACAGTTCTGCACGAATCGAACACCAAGAACACACTAGCACACGTTGTGTTAGGGATAAGTGTTAGCCCAGACGGCTACAGCAAAAACAATCCACAAAAGAAAAAAAAACAAAAACAAACGACACTAAGTTCAAGCTCCTCACACATGGAGCAAACACACACAAGTCTAAAACGAAAAACAAAACACACTGAGATGGGCAACGAGTACAGCCTACTCGTCGCCAAGATTATCCAGGTCGATGTCGTCCATGAAGGCGTCATCACCATCAGCACCATCATCACCATCAGCTGGGGGAGGTGGAAGTGGAGAGTCCTCCCAGGGAGTCCTCCAAACGGGCTGCTCGCCCGGTAGCAGCCGGAGTAAATGCTGCTGGACCTCCTGCATGCGCCGTGAACGGCGCCTCTCTCGCTCGATGTGTGCGAGAGTCACTCACTGCTGGGTCTGGATCTGGTCCAATCTCTCATCGTAAACAGCCATCCTCTGGTGGTACTCGGCCTGGTGAGCCGCGTACTGCTGCTGGAACTGCATCTGATGGTCGAGGATCTGCTGGTTCTGGAGATGCAGCTGCTCGAACTGGGAGGTGAAGTAATCCTGCCCCGGGAAAGCGAAGCTGCCACCTCCGTAATGGAAGTGAGTCTGTGGTGGATCAACAGCAGCGTCCACATCCTCGGACTCCACATGATCAGCAGCCTCATCCCCCTGGCCCTCTGGCTGGACCGTTGGCTGGTCCTCCTGCTGGTCCTCCACGGGGATCTGAGGTTCCGGAAACCCCTCGATCCATAGAATGCCGCTGTTCTCTCGCAGCAGGTGCATGTGATTGATCGTCGACCTGCCAAAAACCATGGTGTCCCCCTGCTGTGTGCACCCCTGCAGGGAAAGGCTGAAGTAGTTGGCCAGGCGGGTGATGAGGGGGGTGCAATGGAGACTCTTCAATTCCGAAGCAGTCTTCGCGAAGGTCCTGGCCACCACCGAACCCAAGTGGAGGGGATGGTCGTCCTGGCGGATCGACTGGATGAGGTACAGGGCCCTCTTGGTGATGGCGCTGGCA